TATATAATAAATATTCTCTATTATAAATAACATAACATAACATAACATCACGCCTTTCATCCCCGAAGGGGTAGGCAGAGGTTCACATTACGGCACTTAATGCCACTGTTCAATGTATTATAAATATTTCTAATAAATTATTATGATGGTTCTATATCTACCTATACTGTTTATACGTATTATTTGTAACTCAGTTTTAGCTAACTATAACCTTTGACTTTGTACCTACCTCTCTTTGACTACCTACATCTTTCATAAGTGATATTTTATACGCAATATGACCTAAATAAATCACTTTAAGCCATAAACAACAAACCTGTAAAGTTCCCTACAAAAACAATTTACCTCAACACGGCTGGGTTAGGTTACAAAGCCCCCATCATCCCCTTCATGTTAGCTTTCTTTTGACCATTCACACAGAAATAGGAACCCCGCGAAGCGCAAGTCAACGCAGGATGAAAACAAAGGCTAGTCCTAAGTTTTAATATTTGTTTACTTTTCGTGTTAACTGGCCTTTTGGTAACTGCTGATGCAGTTTAGCCTGCGATATTAAACTTAGTTAAAATCTGTTTATTCGAAAATTATTTGGCCAAGTAGGTTACTTTCATTTTTAGAAGGAATGTATACTAATACCTTCCTATTAAAAATGAAAAGGACACACTAGAAATACTATAAAGTTTAAACGCAACATGGTACGGTACCTGGCTTACCTACATTACTCAGTGAACACAACTAACTGTTAACTACCTACCAACAACTCGATAGTGTCATAGGATGTAAGGGTCGAACTTGGCTTATATCGTGACCAATCAAATAGTTCCCTTGGGAAGAACTAACAAAAACTTTTCCACTTACAAACTAAAAATAGATTGCGCTATTTCGAACAAACTGTCCCAGTTTCTTAAATCTATCTACCTACCACATTTTATTTCGTCGGTTTTAACAAGTAAAAAGTAGTCCAAAAAAATATTTACTGTGTTTAAGACCGAGTACGCTAAAATCAATTCAAACATAAAGAGACATCAGCAAATATTCGCCAGCATCTACTTTCTTAGTCTAAAAAGTAAACTTGGTGGTATAACAAGTTGCCCTTACCACGAAAGTGGACTCAGTCTGCTAAAGGACACTATAGTACACTACATGACCCTCAGTGCTGGATTTATAAATAGGCTGTATAGGCCGCGGCCTAGGGGCGGCAGCGTCCTAGGGGCGGCAGATTGTAGAGGACGGTCATTCGATTTAAGATGATAAAAGTCAAACACGTTCACTAGTTTTATTATGGTTTTTTATACTTTAAACTAGCTGTTGCCCCCGACTTCGTCCGCGTAGATTAATGACTTCTGACAGAATTAACCAGAATCAATTCAGTGCCCAAGTAAGATTTACCTATTTTGAAATGATTTATCGTAGTTTCAATAAATAAATAATCCCGCAGGGATCTTACCAGTACAGTGCCCTATCACGTAAGGTTTGAGTAATAAAAACTATTCTATCGACTATTGTTGTACCGAATCTCTCTAGAATAAGTTCAGTGGTTAAGAATTAGAGAGTCCTGGGGCATTGACGTATAGTTCCCGTTCTCGTGAGACATCTGTGAAAAAACTATAATACGTTACCCGGGTCCTAAATCATTGTTTTACCGAATGTAATTCAAAAAGATTCAATGATTCTAAATTCAACGGCTAAGAAGATTTATACAAACTCTCATTCCCTATTTTATCCCCTTAGGGGTGGAATTTATCAAAATCCTTCTAAAGAGATACCTATGTCATAGTAACTTTATGCATGCAAAGTCTCAGCCCGATCAATTTAAAACTGGCAAAGTATCATACAAACTTTCACCCCCTATTTTACCCACTTTGGGGTGAGAATGTTCAAAAACCTTTCTAAAGGGACGTTTACGTCATAATATCTATCTGCATGCCAAATTACAACCCGATCGGTTTAAAACTGACAAAGTCTCATACAAACTTTCATCCCCTATTTTACCCCCTTGGGGATGGAAATTATCAAAATCCTTTCACAGCGGATGTTTACGTCTAACATCTATCTGCATGCCAAATTTCAACCCGATCAGTTAAAAACTGACAAAGTTTCATACAAACTTTCATCCCCTTTTTTACCCCCTTGGGGGTGGAAATTATCAAAATCCTTTCTTAGCGGATGCCTACGTCATAACATCTATCTGTATGCCAAATTTTAGCCCAATCTGTCCAGCGGTTTGGGCTGTGCGTTGATAGATCACTATGTCAGTCAGTCAGTCAGTCAGTCAGTCAGTCAATCACCTTTGAATATATAGATAAATAAATCCCTGTACATATATGATAGCAGTGCGGCTCTCATCGATTTTGAGTCGCGTAAGGCCTAACGGGTTGCCGGGGCTCCGGGTTGAAGAGCAGGAGAAGTAACGTGGTGATTTTTAGTCAGTGAGAGACCGACATTACCACTCGCTTGAGCCAAGGCGGGAGTAGACATTAGATGATTTTTCCCCCCTCAAAAATGAAAGGGCGGCGAAAAAAAGTGGCTTACACTTATAAACAATATAAATCCGGCACTGATGACCCTACAGAATATGTCGGCATCATCGTCCTTGTTACACGTAGCCGTAGCGTGCTACGAGGACTACGGTTAGCCGTAGCGGTTTGGTAGTTACGTGGACGTAGCTAGTAGAGATATTCGTACGTTTCTTTCTTACTGAAGTTACTTTTCTACAAAATGTGTATATGAAAATCGTATAGGTTCTCGCTTATAAAATGTGTACAAATTCTCGCTTATAAAATGTGTACGAGTTCTCGCTTAGTATCTGTTTTTAAAACTAAACAATTTATTTCCTTTAATTGTTGGTAACTGCACTGAACTGCACGGTTAGTGAGGAGGCTGGGCAACCGGCTGCCGCGCAACATGTAGCGGGTTCGATTCCCGCAAGAATCAACTCTTTGTGTAATCCACAAATTGGTGTTTCGTGTCTGGGTGTCATATGTATGCAAACTTGTAAATTAGTAAAGGCACTCCCGACCAGGGGAAAATCCTAGTGTGGCAACGTTTTTCTAAAAAAAAACTGATCCGAGTTTGTGACCTCAAAATACAATAATTGAGTTAAACCTAGCTACAAATAAGTTTAATCGAAAGACAGTAGTGATAGCACTTAGCTGAAGACTATGTCTAGAAGGTGCAATATCTCACTCAGGTAATATGACACGTGCAAGACGAACGCTTAATAGATAGTAAGGCGAGATGTATCTGTAATGGATTTAGCCGTACTAATGGAAGTGAACCGCAGGCTTAGCGTTGCGGCTGCCGGCGAGCACACCTCCGCTCGGTGCCACATCCTGCAGAATAGTGACATGTGTTAAGTAACAATGTACCTCCGTTCACAATGGAACGGATACAATATTAAATGGCATGCTAGAGCAACACTCTCAATGATGAATACTCTTTGATCTTCAAGCCACCAAGATTTGTGTAACGAACGGCTTTGAACCAAAAGCTAACTGTAGCTTTGGAGAGATTTTCGGTTGAAAGAAACATTGTTCTTCGATTTGTAGTCATAAAATAAAATTGGGGCTCGTCATGGCTATACCTTGTTTTAATTGGTAATTAATTGGCGATTGCAATTACTTATACATGATACATTAATATAACAACTAGGGATTTGTTCCCTGGACGGAAGGGATAGGCAGAGGTATACATATTAAATGTCACACCCACGTTTTCCCAATTTAGGCGTATACGTAGTATACCAGGAAGTACCTAGCAGTACTATGAAGTAGAATTTTTACAGGGAATATTCGAGAAACGGAAAATGCAATAATTTTATGCATCAACTGAAACATTGGAGGGATGGGTACTTTAACTAGGATAAGCACTGAAATAAATTATTATTAAGAGATCAAACATTGAAAGGAATAACGCCTTTTTCCCGAATGCAGTAATGGAAAATTATTTTTTTGTGTTGTCGAAATAAGACGCGACGGCGGCTAACCTAACAAAACTAATTGAACTACGAGTAAAGAATGTAGTCAAGAATGTAGTCAAAACTGTTAGTTACGCCGCGGAGAACCTAACGGGTAACCGGGGCTCCGGCTCGACGTGCAGAAGGAACGGGGTGGTTTTTAGTCAGTAAGAGTCTGACACTCCCTCCCGCCTCACCCAGGCGGGAGCAGTGATGATCAAGTCATGCTGTTTCAATACAACAAGTGACAAACTTTGATCACAAAATATACATATACATTACAAACACATTTGAATAACTATTCAGATCAGATTTATACTGTATAAAGCCCACTATTATTGATTTTTACTTTAGTTTTTGGGATTACATTTTCTTCTTTACACATCCCTCGCCCAGGTGAAATGATACACATAATAATAATAATAGAGCGCCTCAAATGTATGGCAAGTCTATAATCAGCAAGACTGAGAATGTGGTAGGTATATTAGTGGTGGAGTTTAAATTTGGAGTTTATCCCTGAAGAAAAAATGACTTGTTTTTCTAAAACAAAATCAAAACCCTTTTTCAAGGTTATACTATTCTCGTTAGTTCTACAGTTTTAATATTTTTTGTTACTTCATATCTACAGGTGTTTAGTAAATTAGGTAGCTAACATTCCAGTTAAATTAATATTCTTCAATGAAAAATTCTCTGAATAAATTATTCTTTGATAAACTATGTTTAAAAAACCCAACTTTAATCCACCCTTTTTGGAATCAGTTAATATACTAAAACCTTCTAAGAGTAACACTTTTATCAAAACTACATCAAAATCGGTTCAGCCAATCACAAGACGATCGCGCATAAACATATCAAACAGGTCAAATTGGGAACTTCCTTCTTTATTTGAAGTTAAAAATAATGCCTGTCATTGTTTTGTGTACTTGAAAGGTCTTAATATAACCATCTATTTCAATCAATTCTGAAGTTACTTATCAAGCACATACAAGTCTTGAAAAATATGAATTCTTATTATTTTTTGTAGTCATGAACACTAATAGTATGTAACTTAATGAATTATATTCGGGATTTGTAAAGAAAATTCAGTAGTAGCTTAAACTTAGTGTTTATTCTTGGCTAGCGTCAACATTTTCTGTCTGCAAGCCCTTGATTGAGGCTACGGGTACGTAGGTGACGAGTGTGAACAGTTTGTGTGCAGAGTCCTCATCATCGTTACGTCTGCGAGACAGCCTCACACGGACACGGAAGGGGACATTTCTGAAATCAAGACAAAGCATATTTTAGAACTTATGTTAAATGACACTTACAAAACAACATAATACCTATCAAAAAGCATGTTTACTAATTAGTACTAAATGATTTTAGCATTTCATATCAGAACATATCTGAACAAAATCATCAAAACAAACTTAAGACTACAGTACTTCTAAAGGTTGACAATAGGTTTGAAAGACAAAGCATTATTTGATAGAATTAACTGACAACATACAACTCATTGGTTGCTTCAGACTTCCATAATGTACTTATTAGCAGTAGCTCAGCACTATTATCAGTCAGCATGAGTACAGCCAATACATCAAAATATTCTTTGCAGACAAGAAACAATGACTGATTTCTTGATAGATTTATTATAATAATACGATATACACAGACATCTACTAATGTACTAAATAGCTTGAAGGACCGCAATGATAACAAGAATCACTTTTATAACGAAGAACATCACAACTTTAAGGTTAGGTATATACATCAACAAACGCAATGTTGTTACATGAGTTTTATCATTGTATCCAAGTTTGTGCACTTCATTTATAAACACAACCAAAGAACTTGATGCCTCACCTGACTCCCTTAGACCAGAGGAATTTGTTTAGGCGAGTGTCCACACGAACATCGGGAGTTCCCATTTGTTTCTCGGCGAATTTACGGATCTCCTTGATGGCACGAGGAGCGCGTTTCTTGAAACCTACTCCATGAAGCCGTTTGTGTAAGTTAACCGTGTATTCACGAGTTACAACTTCGTTGATGGCAGATTTGCCTTTCCTCTCGCCTTTAGGTTTTGCCATTGTGATCTGAAATAATATCACAAAATAAGACTCACAACACCTATAACGGCTCCTGAGAACACTTTTTATAACTAAATTCAGTTATTCCGGCATTGATATTTCACGATTAAAGTGGATTTTTTGATAAATACACACACCTTGGAGCTTCGTGCACCAAACCAAATCAAAAAAGAAACGTCAAAGTCAAGTTACACATGTCAAGCGATTTTGACAGTTGAGTTACCGATTCATTCATAACTACCATAGAGATACGTAATCCGATTTTGAAAATTAGTTTTTAAGCCCCTAGTAAGTACACCTACTAATAAAGTTATTTGTCACATTTTTACTGACAGACAGAGATTTAACTATCTGATTAAAAGTATATAGCTTCGATTTTGGAGCACTAAAAATTGTGTATTTCAGAAACAATAACAAAAGCATTTTGGTGAAAACTTACTTTACATTACCAAAACTGGCCTTAATCAATAGTCTTCAAGCAAAGGACATAGAAAAAAAGGGTACAAGCTTCCTTTGAGTGCGTTTCCTGCATAGATATATAACACATCCATCCAACCAAACAAACTCTATGATTCAATCAGTTGACATGAATGACAGAACGAAATCATCGGGTTGGCTGGTTGACATTTGACTTGACGTCTTGACTTCGACATTCAACAGTAACGTCAAAACAAACGCACGTTTTTGTTGTTTATTGGAATTCACCGATACAATAATTATTTTATGTTTAAAACATAAATAACTTAAAATATGGCTGACATTTATAAGTGAGATCACTCTTCATTTAAAATTACTTGTATCCTATACCTGTACATCTTGATACGACTCTTTACTCATTTATTTTTTGTTACAGACTAATACATCCAGTCAAGTATTTTAATGACTATTTAGCGAGAAATATACGTCCTGATGGAAGAGGATTTCACGAACAACGTAATATTAAGTTAAATGTAAATTCCATAAAAGCAGCAGATGCATCTTCAGTGGTTAAATGTGGAAACACGACAGTTGTATGTGGGATCAAACTGGTAATATTATTTGTATTATTAATTTCGTGTCTTAACTGTATCAAGTTCCATAAAGATAAAATATAACTATAAAATTAAACAACTAGTGTGAACTCGGCAAAGAGGTGGTTAAGCCTCAAATTTTTTAAGCAGCAATAGATATTTAGTTTTTTTTATTGTTTCTTTTGATCTGTTTATAATCATATACAATACTGCACGGTCTGTTTCAATATTTAACTTCTTCATTTACGCAGAATGTACGTATTTTTAATATTGTAAAGTACTCACACCATATTAATGAATTTATTCCAAATCCTAAACATGAGAACTTGTTATTGGCTCATTGTTACCTATGCCTATTGATATTTCTATCCATCTTTATAAGCTGTAACTCCTCCATGAATTATAAATAAATGAATAATACTTATGTATACTTTCCAGGAGCTAGCAACTCCAAAAGCCGAAGAGCCAGATATGGGATTTCTAGTTACAAATGTGGAGCTGCCTGCTTTATGTTCATCAAAATTCAGACCAGGTCCACCATCAGATTTTGCTCAAGTCACCAGTACTTTAGTGTCAGACATCATAGTGAACTCAAAATGTATTGACTTGAAAGACTTGTGCATAGCTCATGACAAGTTAGCATGGGTGTTGTATTGTGACATGGTCTGCATTGACAACGATGGTAGCTTGGTTGATGCCTGTCTCATGACTTTGATGGCCAGTTTAAAAACTTGTACGTTAAAAAACTACTTATAATACAATTATTTAAAAAAAACAACAATAGTAACCTGGTAACATGTACCTTTTTTCAGTAACCCTTCCAACTGTAACATATGATGCAGAAACAGAAGAAATATCAGTAGATACAAATGTTCGAACAAAACTTAAAGTACATGGTCTACCTGTGGCATCAAGCTTTGCTTTATACAAACATCTTCAGAGGTATGAAAAAAGAGGTACCAACCAAAAATATAAAAAAAATTCAAACTGCAGAACTAACTAAAGTTTTTTTTTAGCACTATTGTTTTGGCTGACCCCTCATCATATGAAGAAGAGATGTGTGGAGGTATTGGTGCTAATTTAATATTATGCTACAACAAAGGATTCCTCTGTGGCTCACACAAGTTTGGGTGCTGTAACCTCCCCAAAGAATGTGAAGAAATGGCTTTTAAAATAGCTAAAGAAAAAACACAGCTTATTGAAGAAGTTGTTGATGTTTGCATTAAAAACTATGAATTAGAGAAAAATAAATAACAAACAATTTTTAAACTACTTTCTTATTTCCCAAAGTCCTATTTCAAGTTTATTTGTTACTTATAGTACTTCATAGTCAGTTAAACAAAGAGTTGATTAGTCCTAAATGAACTCCATAAATGAACTATTGATGTTGGTAGTTTTAGTTCACATGACGCCAACTGAAAACTGTTTATATGAGGGTAGGTAGAAACTACAGAAGGCCACCTAATAAGATACTCGAATATTTCTTTTCTTTGCATTACGTCCATGTTCATGGCATGGTTGTGTATACAAGCTCATCAGTGCCGGTCAGGAGACGAGAATTTAACAATAGCCAGGCGCACAAACATTCAATAAAGCTGTATTCAGTCATAGTTCTGTACATATTGAACAAAGTTCAATACAGTTATAATTTAGTGATTCATATTATGATATCTTATATTAAAAACTACAATGCTTACACAGCAGAAGAAGAAAAAGTTTGTGAATTTGAGATATAACCATAAAAATCTACAAAAATGGCTATTCAAGTATTTTTTGAGCATCAATACATAGTATAAAACAAAGTCGCTTTCGCTGTATGTCCGTATGTATGCTTAGATCTTTAAAACTACGCAACAGATTTTGATGCGGTTTTTTTTAATAGATAGAGTGATTCTTAAGGAAGGTTTGTATGTATATACATATTGCACCCGTGCGAAGCCGGGGCGGGTCGCTAGTTTATTATAAAGAAAAAACCATAACATATCCTTAACATGACTGGAAAACTGGAAAATATTTTACGAAACAGTTTAAAAATTTATAAATTGGCAACTCTAGTCAAAATGACAGCTGGTCTTTATTTTATTATCTGTTTTGGTAACATTCATGTAAAATGTCACCACGTCTCAAAATATCAAATTATGTTATTGAGGTAAACTATTTTATTTTTATTAATCAAAGCTTGTTACAGTATTACGTTCTGGCTATTTAAGTAAACGAAATAACTAGCTTTAACTTTAACACAGTGTTTTTGGGTAAAACTGTTTAGAATTATAGTTTATTAACATACGTCATCGTCACAGTCATTACATATTTTATATTTTTTTAAGTTTGTGCTATGAACTGGTTCATTATTGATGTTTAATAATATTATTTTAGAGGCTGTCTAATATAGACACAAATGAAAGTACAGGATGTCTGTACGGCCTCATGTACGATGGCACATTGCTCGTGGTTGGGCTGAGCTTAGAATTGTTTGAAAATGAGAAGAACACATACAGGCAGTTTTTGCTCAACCTCCCCGCCGAGATAGAATTATGTGGCGTTGTGCGATTTGGTGAAACATTGACGACTGGAACTACAATGAAGGAAATATTGCAGGTAACTAGTGCTTTGTCTTTTGTTGGTACATTCAATTGCATGATCTAACTTACCATTACCAAACTAATTTACATTGCTACAAAGTATAATTTATCATCTTTTCTTTATTACAGGATGTAGATATAACAGACAATCCTCTAGTGATGATAGTCAATGAAAAGAAAGAAATGAAAACTCACTTTCTGGTCCATGACAAGTTTGAGGAAACAAAATATGAAGTCCTGAGCTCAGATGAGATGTGGAAACAGTTCCTCCATGTGCGCTTGAACACAATCTTACCACTCAGCTGTGAAGCAACTATATCTGGAGTGAAAAATATCCTGCAAAACAAAAGGAAAAAGGTTTGTTAAATATTTATTGTAACTTATGAAGTTAATAGTCAGGTTGACTATTATTGTGTATTCATAATTTAATTAATTTTAGATTTAGAGAGAGTGAGAATATGTTGTGTTTTGTTTACTTATAATTCTTAATATTAGCAATATTCCTTTACCAAATTAAGTTTGCAAAAGTGTCTTCATCATGTCGGGCATTTGTTGACTTGATTTAACCCAAAAATGTTGTTGCAGATTGCTTCTGGCCAAGTCTCATTCCACGTCGATGGCACATCGGTCTATCTGTTTGGTGTGGCATCGGATGTGGGTCTAACTGGAACTAGCACAGAAGCAACCATTGGGGAACTTGTTGACTCTATGAGTCCAGAACAGCCCAAGAAAAAGAAGCATAATACTAGTAGCATAGTGAGTATGAAATCTAATAGTTTTAATGATTTTTAGTCAAAAAGGTCTTGTGCATAAAACTGTAATAAAGACCAAAATACTGTAACATAATTATTATTTTCAATATTGTATGTAGCACATAAATTCAATAATTGAAACCAGTATACTTAAATACTCTTTGTTTTGTGGTAACTAATAACAAAATATAAACTTTTTCTTCATAAAAAATTTAAAATGTTTAATCTGAGAATTTTCTTTTCAGGAAATAGTGCCCATAAATCTTGTTTTGAAGACAACAAAAGATATATTGTCAGATAAACTTGTTAAGACTGCAGTTAAAATGATGACTACTCAAAGAAAACGTAAGTAGCGAAGCCAAGTAAACTTGATTCATATGATGTCATCTCTTAGTTAATTTATTAATTAATCAATTACACTGCCTTTAAAATTAGGCTTTAATAAATCATCTATAAGATCTATTATTTTAATATCCATGATCTGCTTGATGCAAATCTAATTAGACACCTTTTTTATTGTTTCTTATATTAATTAGCAATCAGTTTTATTGAGTGTAACCTGTTACTTCCAATAAAACTTATATTAATTTATTCACTTGATGGGCTCAAACCAATAATATGATTTGATCAGGACTTACCACAGTAATGTGTTCTCATTTCATTACAGCTGCATTTTGCATCAGTATGCCATTGAGAATAGACACATTGGCAATGATACACCGTAACACAAAGTTATTGGATCTCTATACAGTCCTTGTGGAGGCTGCCTGCAGGTCACTCAGACTATTAGAGAGTGTCCTATTGGAACAATTAGGTTTGTAAATACATCTAAATATTTGTTGGTTACTTCATTTTTAGAAGGATTTTCCAGCTATGTATTTCAATAATTACATTTTGTTGTTTGTCAATAACAATAGAAATATGTGTTAAATTTATATTAAATCTATTTTAGGTCAAGAAGGTATCGGAGATGGTGCTGGGCTACGGTTACCTGAAACCTTCCACTTCCTGCCACAAGAAATAGGTCATTTCATTACTAGGGTAGTACCTAAAGCCATACCAGATGAAAGTATGGGTAAGTTTCTGATATTGATGTAACAATATCTGAATATTAAACTACATATTGGTATGTTAATTTCTGTAAATGGTTGCAGAAAAAGAACGGCGATTGCTACATGAACAGTTGGGACTGGCCCTAACTAGACCATTGTTTCGAAGAGGGAATGCTTACGCTGATAAAAGTAATGGGCGTCTAGTGAATCCTCACGAGGCTATACCGCAGCAGCCATCCAAGCCTGATGTCACTGTAGCTCTAGTACGAGGTCGATATACGTATCACCACTACATGCAGGACAACTTCAACGACGATGGGTGGGGTTGCGCTTACCGCTCAATGCAAACTATATTTTCATGGTTTAGGTACGTAAATTTTTATATCCTAAGAATACGCAGTACCTTCATTGTCTCTTGAATATTACTGTAATAATGTTCTTTGGTTTCCAGGTACCAAGGATACACAACCGTTGACATACCAACCCACAGAGATATTCAACAGTGCCTTGTAAACATTGGTGATAAGCAGTCTTCATTCCTAGGTTCAAAGCAATGGATAGGGTCCACTGAAGTTATGTTTTGCTTGGAAACACTGTTAGGCGTACAATCAAGGATCATATTCGCTAACACTGGAGCAGAGTTACAGAGCTATGCCCATGATCTGGTACATCACTTCCAGACACATGGCAGCCCTATTATGATTGGTAAGTGCTTTTGGACATTTCATTTAAATTTTTTAAGAGATATGTATGTATTTATTTTCCTCAACTACAGGTATTTCATACAAAACTTTTACTTTTAGGCGGAGGTGTGCTGGCACACACAATTTTGGGAGTGGAATTCAACGCTGCAACTAACGACATTCGCTATCTAATCCTAGATCCTCACTACACAGGCCAAGAAGATTTGTCCATTGTTATCAGTAAGGGATGGTGTGGTTGGAAGAATTCAGACTTCTGGAACAAAACTGCTCACTACAACCTCTGTTTACCACAAACAAAACCTGCTATTTAAAAGACGAGTTGTATCATAAGCATTTAAAATTTATTGTCTTTGAACACAATTTTCCATTATTCTATTTCTTGCTGCCAATAATTATTAATGCTGTATGTAAAGCTGTGATATTGGCTTGAATAAGCCCTTAGATTCCACACATGTGCATTTTTTTACAGAACATTCAGGTGTGACCTGGTTTAAATTAATGTAGTGAACTGATAAATTACGACTATGTCGAAACAAGTAATATTAGACATTACAATCATAATATTAGTCCATATTGAAAACATTTTGTCTAAGGATCTACCTGCTTTCCTTGTTTCTAAATCTATGTCACCTGGAATCTAACCATTGCCATTTTATACTCTTTTTCTCTCTCTTTGAACCCAAAAATTAGAGAACTCCTAACATAAGCTCAACCCAACAGCGAAAATGTGATTATTTGATCAAAAGTTTATATCTAGGTTTAGGTAACAATAAGCTTGTTTTTATACTTTGTTCAAATTATTTGCATGTTCAAGTTTCTGCCATAAAGATTAATTAGATTTTTAAACTTGTCATCCCAAAATACCCACAATAGTTATGTGTACTGCTACTTATGTTGAATTTGAATGATTGTTTTATATAATCCATAATAATATATGAGTCTTTTAATTTGCTTATGTCATTTTAGTATCGTGACAAAATATCAAGCATGTAAGTTAAATGGAATTGTTATATTTTATACTAAATAAAGTATAAATTAAAATATCCTTTTTTATTGATGCAAGACTAATAAGCTCTACAAGTAAGTAAATACATTTGTTAAAACCTTGGGACGGTCGATTAGTTTATACACTACAATAAAGTCGCACATAAATAAATATTATAACAGTTTATTTACATACAGAATAAAGGGAACTTACTTTACGCCAACGTAGTACTTATTACACTATAGATTACATACATAAAATACATTCCTAGATCACAGAGAAATACAACAATATATCAGGAAACTAATTTGAGACTAAAGGAAACCAAGGCACGACTGTTGTCTACGAGTCAACTAGGGGCAATCAATTCGGAATGTCTTCCAATCTAAGTTTTAATTATCTAGTCAAATACTTTGTTTCAACGGTAATGTCGCTTTAACTCTGTTTATATCTTAAGTCATGCACAAAATGTGTAGTAGTAGCGAACTTGGTGCCATAATATTACTAAAAATTACGCCCTCGATTGAACACCTATCGAATAAACGGATGGCTTTTCAAGTTTAGACTAGATAAATGAAAGTGCAACAGTGGTGTCGTCTGATCTAATGTCGTCTGAGAAAACATTTAACATATAATATCGAATATTAGGGGCATTTACCTAGACATAAGGGGAATTTAACTATTACAAACAACTAGGTAAAGGCAAGCAAGCAGCCTATTTCTTTACTTTTACTACAAACTACATTTATAATTCAACAGTAGAAACTCCTCAAAACGGGATTTATGGGTAAGTTAATTATTTCATGAGAGTATTCTGAAGATAAGATAATAAGTTAGGTTCCTCTCCACGAAACGGATATAAAAGACCCAGGACCAACGAAACCAGATACCAAACCTTTATACTATCAAATATATCAAATGCTGAAAAATAATGTGCTGTTCATAATGGAACTCTGTATTTAACATGAATATTATATCTATATACCTACATATAGTATGAAAACATTCAATGGTACTTATTACTTTACAATCTGCATTGATTCTTTTATCACCAATGCTCCCTAAATCCATGGCTTATAGAATACCAAAATAAATCTGTACAAGGTCCTTTGAAATACGTTACGATTTAAATACCACAAGTTTTGCTAGATTTTATTTGATTTTTTCAAAACCTTTTTACACATTTACAGTCCCTATGAAATACTTCTGTGGATGCGCATACACACATAATAGCAAAAGATATATAGGTACGTTACAATGTGACTGCCGCTTTACTATTGTAAGCTTTTTGCAAAAAGCTTAGCTATTTGACTAGTTTGCAGCTCTCACACATATATGAAACTAGCTTCTGCTAGCGGCTTAACCCGCTTTCTGGCGGAATAAAAAAAACCTTTGCGTTACTCCAGGCCATAATCTACCTCAGTTCCAAATTTCATCCCGATTCCTCCAGCCGTTTTGACGTGATTGAGTAACAAACACACACACACACAATCTCACATACTTTCGCATTTATAGTATTCGGTGCTACATTTCAAAGTATTTCTAAATCACAGTGCCGGATTTGCGGAAACTTTTTCTGTAAATAAAAAAGTTATATTTATTTCAAAAAATTGTTCATATAAAAAAATCACTACTAAAAAATAATACCAATATATGATTTCCTTACCCGTAATTTTAATTCTATTCTATCAATCTCACCGCCCAACATATCTACAATATTTTCTCCATGTTTCAACAAGAATGCTTCTACATCGTCAACAGTGACAACTTTTTTCATGTCCTGGAACAATTCCCGTTTTACAATACATTATACAGTAAATAATAATCCAAAGGTAATAATAGAGAGTATAATACTAAGTGACGTAACAGTTCCGGTAAATATACATGCATTATTCATAAGTTATTATGGGCCATATAGCATAAAAATAACATTTATCAAGATCGCACTCTCACCTCCATTAATGCGTTCAAGTCGTGTTTCTCTAAGTACGACCTTGTCAGAGCTCTGCCGTCGAAATCAACTTCAGCCTGTACAGGAAAGATGAAAATAAAAGTAAAAATTGAGACAGATTATCATAATTTTGTGCAAAAAAGAGGTGTTTACCTTATATCTTATTAGGTTACTGCCTATATCTATGCCCTTGACGTCATGAATGGCTCTTATCATAAAATCTCGTTCTAAAACGCTGTTTATTTGGTCCAGTTGCTCTTGCGGTATTGATCTGTTGATATTTAAATCGATATGTAGTCATGCTAAAGAAATATAGTTCTTACGTGTCAATGATTTTTTTTACCTGCCGACTAGGGCGCCAACATTCGTCAAAATGATAAAAGAGGCTACACCACCGAGTAAAGTTCCAACTAGGATACAACCAACAGCGTCATATAATGGGTTGCCAGAATACTGGGATAAAGCCATACACCCTCCCGCTATGATAACGCCAGCTACAGCAGCAGTATCCTCCAAAAGTACTACATTTACTGATGGATCCGAGCTACGCATTACTGAAACAAAGAACATACAATGTGGCCACAAAAATCAGTGTAGACAAATGTATAAAACTATTAATTTAAAAAAAAAACTTACTGTATTCGAATACTGACGTATTGGCCTCCTTGGCACCTTTTCGGATAGCATTCAAAGCTACCATTAACGTAGCGCCTTCAGAAACTACAGCGCCGCCAAGAACGAAATAAGCCTGAAATAAAATAGTATTTTAACACATTGAAAGAATATAATCAATAAATGTTTAAAATATTTTACTCACCCAGTAAAAATCATGGAGGGGTTGAGGGTCTAATATACCAGTTACTCCGTGGTAGAAAGATAGGCCACATCCTACACAAAATATCCCAACACCAGATATGAGGGAGGAGACATATCTCATATTTGTATAGCCATATGGGTGAGCTGGATCTGCCATCTGAACAATACACATTCAATATTAGTTTTATTGTATAGCGGAAATTATTAATCAATCACGATAAGACATCATTAGATTGCAATTCATTTTCGACATTAGTTCTAACCGAGATTATGGGAAGATTAAGACTCATTTTGGAGATAAAGAACTATAAAATCTTACATACTTGAACAGATTTATGTATCCCATATGCAAGAATCAGTTGATTCACAGTGTCAGCCAGCGAGTGGATGCATTCAGAGAATAAACTGTGTGATCCAGTGTACAGCCATGCACATAGTTTGAATAAGAAGTTACAGGAGTTTCTGAAAATAATAAAACATCTTAAAATGTTGTTGGGTTTAGGTTGTAGAAGTTAATAAGTTACCGTTTTACACTATAACGCACACATTAAATGGTAGCCAAATGTAGTACTTTTTATTGATATTTTATTATTATTTAAACTTACATTCCGACTGCTGTAAGTACAACCCTCCCAGACCTCGTTTTAAGTCCCATCTCTTCCACTCCATGTCTAAGACGTGTGTGGCTCATTTCTCTTCTATAATTTCTTAGCCTCCTTTTCACAGTAAACACATCTGTAATATTTTGTTTTTTTTTTAATACTTATATTCACCAAAATGCTGTGTTTTGGACACTAAATACCTCCTTCTGTTCATTATATTTCACTTAATATAATCCAAATAAGATACTTGTTTATAATATACCTTGTTCATATCTTCTTCTATCTAATTCCCTTCTCAATAGTTCCTTTTCAAGAGCTTCCTTTGATCCCCAAATCTAAGTAGAAACATGAGTAGTTACAATAAAATCAAGAAAGAAATAAAACAACCAATAATTCAATAGTTATGTCAAACATTTCTTTGACCAAGTACTCAAATCACTTTACCTTATTAAATCCTCTAAATATAATATTAAAATACTAAATTAATAGAGAATTAATTACCTCCAATGCCTTTGCTTCTACATCCTTGCGGTAGTGCACAGTCATTGGAGGTTCAGATTCATATGGAGACCTTCTTAGAACTTTGGGTAAAGACTCCAAATCAGATTGCTTCAGTAAATACTCTGTCATGGCTCTCATGGGAGTTATAAAATTTCGTTCAGTATAAGATGCTGAAAAATCTATTAAAAGTCTTTTCTTAGCTGAAAATTTAAAATATAATATTAGTGTTTTTTTTTGCTATGACTTGATTATGTAATATGTGCTTTTTTATATGATAAAAGCTGTCTAAAAGAGCTATAATCAAATAAATGTAATGTATTCTCAGTTAGTACCTGCTATAGTATGTATGATTCCTATTAGAAAGGGAATCTGTGGTATGAAGTAGACTAGGGTTTTATAAAATTATATCAAATAAGGTCTAAAAACAATTTGAAAATAATGAACTGTAATAAAATGTAACCTGGTTTTGGGGGAGGTGCTTCTGCTGACTTATCTGGTGGCTTCATTTTCGCGATTGTAATCTTAGTTACCACTTTACTTGCATCAGTCTCCGTTTTTACTATGATATCGCCAGTCGGACTCTGTTTTATTACTTTATTGACATTTTCGTTCTCAGCCACAACTTTCTCCGACTCGAGAACATTTTTAGAATTGGCCTTATCCAACAGGTATGCTGAACTGTGAACATATCGCCATAGCTCCTTGCTTTCATGTATAATATCTCGTCGAAATATCCTGGGTCCACCAAAGCATAATGAATGTAAGTATTTTATTTCTATTGAATGTCTACTTAATTTTCTGTAGAAACACTTAGCGGCTACCGAAGGCAACATGATAGTTTGATACGAAATGTTCAACCTTGAAGGTATTAAGTCACATGAATATTTATGAAAAACTTGAGCCCCTAACGTGTTAAGTTTAATTTAACATTATACTTAAAGTGTACGGAAGATTATGGCCTAATTACTAAAATTAACGCTAATCATAGTTATTTTTATTTTGAATATTTATTCGCGACTCGTAAGCAAATGACATCAGATGACATGACAATAGGAAGATGTCTTTAATCTGTGAAGGGTGACATCTGACATTGGTATCCTTGACAATTACAATAAAACCATAGATTGAAAAAATGAAGAAAAAAATGTTATTGTGGTTTAGTTTATGTAGTCCACCAGCTTCACTTCGTAATATGACTAGCTGACCTAGCAAAATTCGTACTGCCTAATTTTCGTTTCTGACCTTTCAAATCATCTCTGGACTTACTACTATTTCCACGAACATTTCAAGATCAAAATTATCCAAAGCGGTTCAGTCTTTTTTTTGAGTTTAAGCGAGAAACGAACGGAAATTTATTTTTATTTATATAGCTTTAAATAAACAGTCTTCATGTCTGGTGGTAGAGAAATAATTGAACTTTGTATAAGAAAATGTCTTAGAAATCTAAACACAACAAATTAGTGCAGTTCTCCAATATACCATTTTAGTAAAACTTGACGTTGTAGAATAAAACTACAAAATTACAGAGCTATGTAGATGGTTTTAACAAGTATTGTAGTATAATATACATTACCGTGAATATAATATTTTATCATCAAAGTTTCTGGTACAGAGTTGTAAAGGGCAAAAAGCTTACGAAAATTTAAATTTCGCGGACCACCCTGAAGAGTGTTGTAGTCCTCTAGCCCATAGTGCGAATGAATCATGAGTTACTTACTAACACAGAAATAATATAACGTTATAGCACATTGTGTAACACTCTAGCATTAATTATAATAGCGATACTCTACAACATGTTACTACCACCACAATAAACAAAATAAGTCAGTCTCTAACGATAAAAAACTGCTGTGTGTGAGCACCTTTATAGTGTTTGGGCTTACATTGTCAATACTGTCAGTGTCACATTGGGAAGCTCGACTCATTCAAGCTTCACTATTCCCCGCTCCCTCCTGATTCCGAACGAAAGAGTGAGGAGCTACACAAGCAAGCGTCAAGCCAGCTTGTTATAGATTTTCTAAAAACTTAAACATTGAGCTTAGATCACGTTGAAGTGAATATAGTGCAGCGTGCAAAGTTAGCCTTACTGCATTATCTCGTAATATTTACTGTAGTCATCATCACGGAATATCAAGTTTGGAAAATGCCGGCGAGCAACATTGGTTCGTACCTGCAGGACGCCAGAAATAATTTCGACGCCGTGCGACCCGCCCCAATTTGCACTGATGCCAATCAATCAATAGGCCAATGTCAGAATGTACATATATCCACCAATTGCTATTATGGTTACCACGATCTAAAAAGATCCGAAGACAACCACGTTGACACAGATTGCGAAATGATGGAACTCCCAGAAAGAACGCCCTCCAAAACAACGACTTCAAGGAAGCGGAGCGCCGATGAAGAAGAGTTTCCTCAACGCAAACGCATCCGAGAAGGTACGTTTCCTTTTATTTCCATAATGCTAAAAAACATTTTAATAAATTGTCTATAAGAATGCAAATCATTGAGGTTTCCTAACCTAACATGTCAAAAGATGCTCTCACAATTTTATTTGATAATGTTACCTAAATGGAGCAACAAGATTGTTCTGTAGTTTTGCTTTGTAGGAAGTCTCCCATTGCCATATTTGTGCAGATGGTACCTACCGCCTTTTTGATATTTTACAGTTTTGTTGCAGTTTCACTAACTTGTTTTCTTGTGTAGACTTATATTGCACCTTCACATTGCTATCTTGTTGAGCTTTTATGAAGATGGCATTAGAGAGATAAGAATATAAATGTGGGCTTAGATGAAACTTACTTTATTATCACACAAGAGATTCAATAAATAAAACAGTATTTGTTACTTATGCTCTCAATGTATATCTTCATAAAACTTAATAATTATAATTTGGTTTGGTATTCTTGTGTCATACAAAATAAGTTATGTTTCTTGTAAAGGTACTTTCTAATATTTGGTGGCAAAATTAAAGCTAAGTTCTTTTAATGTTGCTCCACATCTTAGTCATATTAAAAATAATATAATTGCATAAAGTTACAGCACACAATTTTTTGATACATCTGTTGATGGAAGATGCAAGTCCAAGATGCATACATTATGATCATTATTCACAGTGAATACTTAGTAATGATAGCTAAATTTAATTATATTTTGTTTTCTATTAAGTTTTGCTTCTGTCAAATAAAAAGGTCAAGAATATTTCTTGATAATTCACTAAACTTTTCTCAATTATGCCTGGACTAGTTTTTACCAGTGCTGCTAGTAGTAATTTCATTTTGTGTGCTATAACTTTGAATAAAATGGTTGAAGATATCTATTCACTTAATTTATGTTGTTACGTTTATTCAGTGATATTACTTGAAGAACTGACCTAGAATAAAATGTTTACATAATTATTTGTCAGTAAAACTTCCCTTATTAACTCGTCGAGTACCGTATTTATAGACACAATTAACTCGTTGAGTACCGGTTTTATAGACACAATTAAAGAACAATAGGTCGCGGTCACCGGTGACCGCTTGGTGTTTGACAGTTTAAAGAACAATAGGTTGCGGTCGCCGGTGACTGCTTGGTGTTTGACAGTTTAAGGTGATTATTGTCTAGGAAACCCCTAATAATTACTTTTCAATAAAATAATGCCAATCTGATTCTATATGGTAATTAAAATAATAAAAAACAGTTAGGTAGTTGAGGGCCGATTATTATTGACATTTGTTATTCCTCAGTTAATCTGGCGTTGGAAAAGTCGGTCCTGAAAGATTTAATAATCTAATGTTTGTTATGTAACATTTTCATTTAATTTTGATTAGATTCAGATAAACAAGGTTTTAACTGTACACTTGTATGGGTGTATTTGAATTATTTATTATTACTCTTCTAAAAGTGTGACGCTAAGCCAACAGGGTATAATAATATGTAAATTATAATAATTAAAACATGCAATTAACCAGCAATAATGCCAGTCACTGTAGCAATATTATTATACTTTTAAAACAGTCATTCTTTGTGGAATTATGATGCATTGTATAAAAATAATGGAATATAACACTTTTATTAACTTTTATTGTACAAGTTCATAATGGCAGTCTATTGTTAAGTGTGCTAATATTTCAATAACATTATCATTGCTATATTATTCAACTTTATAAGGAATCTGTTCTTAATATTCAAGTCCAACTGGTTGTTTCAAAAGTTTACCACATTTTAGCATTAATCTGTCAAACACCAAGCGGTCACCGGTGACCGCGACCTATTGTTCTTTAATTGTGTCTATAAAACCGGTACTCGACGAGTTAATATGGCAATGTTAAAATGGTATTTGGGCTCACAGGTTTTAACACAAGTGGAATTGATCCACTTTTGGTTGATATATAAATGTTTAAATTCCAAATATATCACTGCTAATTTATTTTCTGTCACAAGTAAGTCTTAAAAAGAAAAAATGTTTGCAAGTCACGAATTTAGTTGGCATTGATTTAATTTAAGAAATATTACATAGATTGGCAAAATAACAAGTAATAAAATAATTTTGTTGATGCATATGATTACCAAAAGCACTAAAGAGAATTAATCTCTTAGAAGCAAACTTAAACAAAAATAACAAGAAAACTTAACATGTTTCTACAAATTGACTCACATCATTTTTCGCAGCATTTCCCACTCCAAGATCTCTGCACTTAATATTGCCAATCTATTTAATATCTGTCAGTAATATGCTTTAAAGTTAGTATCCTATAGGCTAAGCACATTAAAGTTACTCTCATTTCAATGGCATTAGCAACATTAATAATTAGCACACAGGTACATTAATGCACAATGGCACATACAGAGGTGAAGATTCACGAAGATGATTCAGAATTCACGCAACTGGAGCAAGGTAAGATCAATATTTTAAGGACTTACTTTTATCATGCTCTAATGGAATGCTGATGCTTGAGTTGGAAAGGCTATTTCATGCTGCATGTTGAATGCCATTCCAAGATAAACATATTTTACAAGAACAATAAAACCATTTTGTGACTATGGTATTACAAGATAAAATTGGATGAAATAATTGAAAGCAAAATACATGTCCATGTATGCATGTTATTCCAAATCTGGTTTGTGTGATTAATCTTAATACCGAATTCTGATTATTCTGTGGGAAGAGCCTACTCAATGAATCCAGATTTCACACAGGATGGTAATGGCTACCATGATAATATAGTCGCACTAAAACAAAGATGAATCGAAATGTAATACTACTGATAGCAATCACAGCTTAAAAATACTATGGAAGCACAATGACAATGCATCAAAACGATTGAGATAGATCAGAGATGAAAGGCCTCTCGTAATGTCATTTGCACAAGAAGTATCCTCATGAATTAACTTGCAGTACATGCCCTTATTTGAGCTACCTATGAGCCTACTCACCAACAAAACAATGCCAATAGCAATTATTAGACATATATGCATATTTTCTAAGGAAAAGATTGACCAATACCAGGAAAAATCTTACATATTTAATGTGCTTACCCTTGGGACCATAAAGATAAGTTAACTACTTAAAAAGTTGAAACAGCAACAAAACTTGGCTTGGGGGCTTCCTGTCTGAAACTTGAGGCCCAGTGTGATGAGGTTCGAATTTATTTCAGAGGGTATGGTGCCATCGACTTCCAACTACAATCCATGTTTACTTCGCCCAACACACAACAATCCAGACATATCTCGTTGTCTCATGGTCCATATGATCTGATCTCTACTGCAATACCAATGTCACAAGACAAAAATAATTTAGAAAATTATCATTTTATCTGCAGAAGTACAAAGAGAGAAAACCATTGAACCTGAGACAAATGAGACAGTGAAATTGGATACAAGTGCCGAAGATATCAGTGTCATGGAATCATTATATTGGAACATTCACGGAGGAAATATTTTTCATTTGATACAGTGTCTGTGACTCCTATTCGTGTGTGATATTTTTTAAGACTAAAATGATTGGAACTTTAAGAAATATATGCTACTTTTTGTACACTTTAAATATGCTTATGTTTCTTTATAATTAGTGTAAGTTTTTTATTTTAATAAAAGTATAATAGGTCAAAGGGTGGATGTTTTTTTAAATATAAAATATATGTTTAAGATTATTTATTAATATATATTTTATATATTACACAAAGTATTTATGACAAGAGTAGTTCAATAATATAATAGTGGGATACAATAATAATAGTCATTCAGTAATACTAGTTTCGTCAGGGCGTCATCAAAGTTCTCAGTTCAATCTGAAAAAAAAAAGAAAACACTAATTATTTCAATTTGCTTTGTTTTTCTGTTACAGGTGGAGTAAGAAGCTTTAATTTATGTATTTCTCTTTCAGTTGAAGCTCAAACAATTTAAAAGTCAAAATGGCTTAGTTTGGGTTTTTGCTCCATTTTTACTAGTGTAATAACTTCACCTTTTTGTTTTTCAGATGATTCTTCCATGTGCAGCCTTGTTGGCACACGGTCAAGTCCAAGCCACTCAGCTTCCGCCTTTAATGTAAACATACCAACAATTTACAGTTTGTCTTTAACATACAAATTTGTATTTAATGTTCATGTTGTATACATAGATTAAAATCATAGGTTTATTACCAAAACCTCTGTCTGTGATATAATGTATTTGTACCTGATAATGCTAATGTAATAAATACTTGGAAATGTACAATGTTTTTTATTTTGGTGGTATGCTTCAGAAGTGAAAATGCAATTACGAATATTTCAGTTTATTTTTAAGTGTCAAGATATTACAAATATAAAAATAAATTATAGTTAACACATGACAAATAGGAATTCACATAGAAAAGATCATAGTATACATAAAGAGTTGGAAATGAGCAACTTAGGCCACAAAAACATTAAGAACCAACTTACGAACCTTACACAATATACATTCACTGCAAATAATAATTTTAAAAACATTCACGTAATGGATCAATCCAACAGGTATTTTGGCAAAAAATATAAACTGGTACATAATATAAGTAAATGTGGCCTAAGCATTTTCATGTGATTAAGTATGTTCTTACAAACCCAGGTATTGTAAAATTGGGGTTACCATTACCATGTTACAGTTGAAACTTCAATTAGAATAAAAGCTACAAAAGCAAGGGGGCACTTTAGCTAAAGGATAAAATAGTATCGAAATGTGAACATTGAGGTATCCCCCAACCAATCCCTCGTATTTATTACTTGGCTCATATTGTTAGACATGTTATAAAAGTTGTCAATCATTGCGGTTAGCACAATTTATTAATGGCAGGCATCTACAATACAGTACGTGTTGCATTACCTCTGTCGGTGTGACTTCTTCCGTGTCGACCACGTCAGGTAGGGCCTCTGCGTTAGCTCCTGCTTCATCGTGTCCGTTAACTGCGCCATCTTCTAATTCGTCACATCGAGTTTGGTCGGCTTCCGCCAAATCTCCATTATGCATTTCTGAACAATTTATGAGATCAACTTTTCCTTCTTGACTAGAACGTGGGCTATTATCGTTCATGTCCGAATTCTCAATATCCATGTGAACATGCCCAGGCCACAGGTCGTAAGGACAAGCATTTAGCTGATGCAACTGGCTGTCGCTTGAACTGAATAAATTTAAGGAGCCAGCGACATCTTGCAGAATTGCAGATTCAGACAGTTCATTTGTCAGTTGTGTTGGCTCACTTTCATTACTCGAGGGTATGAAAACTGGTAAATTTTCAATAATGTCGCCAGAAACATCACAAACTCGCATACCCTCGTATTTAGAAAGTAACTCAAGCAGCCGCCTCTTGGCCTGTTGAGTATATCTACCATCAGCAGTGTTGCTCAATATAAGAGATACTAATGTCTCTAAAAATTCCGAAGTGCATGTCTCATCGCTTTTCAACAGTAAAAAGCGCACTATTTTATTGTCAAGTTGCAGAGAATTTCCAGCCACATTTTGCATAGGTAACGCATTGCAGTCATTGTACGCGGTAGCTTCACCCGATGTTGTTGAAACCGATTCCTGTCTATTCTCGTCATGGGCGCTTTCATTGCTTTGACTTTCAATAATGGAACTATACTGAGACAGTACACCACGTATAGACTGTAGTACTTTCTGTCGCAAAGTGTCAGAACTTATCAGCTGTAGCTCTCTAAACAGCTGTATCAAAAAATCTGGGTGAGATTCATTCACATCAATCAAAGCTGTCACTTCAGAATAAACATTTTCTCTGAGAAGATCAAACAACTTCGAGGTAGCCTTATCTTGCACTTCGCGACTTGTTGACGCTAAATTAGGATTAGGCATCTCAGAAGTGCTTGCAATGTTAATGTTACTCATTTGTGAATAATCCAAAGTATAATTTCTTCGATTAGTTGAATTCTTAGCAGGTAATTTAGAAGATGATTTCTTTTTGCTGTTAGCAGACGTGTTTAAGTTATTTGCATGGGCCTGTATAATTTCTGGAATAGGATTGGTTATATTCAAATTTCTAAAAGAATTCGATGGAGCTTCTTGGCGATTAATATTGATATTACATGAGCTAGAGACATTGTTTTCTTCAATATTTCTTGAAAGGCAAGCTGTGGGCGTTTCGGCGTCGGGATTCTGGTTTACGTTCAATACGTCTGGAGCAGATGAGAAGGAAAGGGATCTTTCGTAGGCAACGTTCCGTCGCGTATGTCTGTTTGGTATGTCATCGTTATTTGCCTGAGATGATTGCGCGGCATTGTGAGATGAACTGGCAGCGTTAGTATTTCTCTTAGGAGTAATACAAGGAGGCGTGGCTGAGGGGGTACGGTGGAGTGTATTATGAGATCTTTCGACCAAAGGGTGCGGGTTATGAGCGGGCCCAACTCCTAAGTGTCCATCAGCATTTGCTTTGTTATTGGCCGACAGAAGATTTTGACGCGAATAACTGGAAAAAATTACAGACTTGTTATTTATAGTTTCTTATTTACATTACATTAAACAAAAAGCTGAATACAATACTGTAATAATGTTAGCATACAAACACGTCATGGGTATTATAAAATCACACAGGCGTAGGCACGTATGATTAGTCTCATCACAAAGCATGAAATAAAAATTGATCCCATAAGGAATATTCTAGGGCAAACACTTTCCTCACCCTTGGAACTGAAGTGTGTAAAAAATACATAAATACGTTGTATATTATAATTAAATAAAAAATATAATAAATGAAAACAATGCTTGTATTCTAATATCTGAAAAGAGAAAAGCATAATAAATAAATATTGCTAATTTATGTGTTTCCTACATTTCTACGTGGATTGTGTTAATAGTTACCTGCGGAAGTTATCCCAATAATTATTAGCTCTGTTTCCCGGAGGAACTTGATTATTAAGCGTGTGCGACGCAGTTTCCGCGCGCCAGCGTTCTTCCATCTAGAATACAAAACAAATAATTAACTATATTTAACTAAAAAACATATATTTTAAAGTATGATTGCCTCGACTGCCAAGACTGCCTCGTGGACCGAGTGGTCGCCATTGTGACTGCCGGGCAATGGGTCTCGGGTTCGATTCCCAGGTCGGGCAAAATATTACTGAGTTTTAAAAAAATCTCAGTAGTAGCACGGAGTCTGGAAATGGTATATGGCAATAGGCTCACTCCCTATTACACGGGACTCATAACATAAATAGTGAAAAGTGGGTGTTACTTCTGTGTGCACCTCTGACTACCCCTTCGGGGATAATAGGCATAATGTATTTTAAAGTTATTATAAAGTATAACAAATAAATTACAATAAGGTTCGTTAGTAGACTGGTTTGACCTGCGTGATCATAAATAGAATCGCAAAAGAGTACTTAAACGACGTAATGTTTTGGTGGCGTCATGTACAAGTATTCCACTCACATGGTTAAGTTGTTCCCGGAGCTGGTGCAGTTCCCGCTGCTGCATGACGAGTTGCTGCCAGCACCACGCGCCCCAGAACCCGCATCCACAGCTACACCCTCCCACCATACCTGATTCATTACAATCACTATTAAATTACAATATTATTTCGACCTTGGAAATATAATATGATAACAAACCCTTCGGAAAGCACTAGGTGACTATCAGAATCTCTTAAGTAAATTGTCATCCAGCATTGCAAGGAGACCGCATTGATAATGATGATAAATAATTAATCCTTTGTTTAAACTATTTAAGTGACACTCGCGCAAATACTGAAAGGCTACTCAACTTTAAGTGGAACTTAAATATCATGATATTTAAGTTTTACTTAATCATCTCTGTCATTTTACAAAGAATTTGTTGTGACAGAACTATACCCATATATCCCCAAGCGGTCACCGGTGACCGCCAAACACATTATAGACCTTATTTCCAATGTTTAGAGACTACTTTTGTATTAACAAATTTAGAGGATGATTTTCAACACATTGGGTGCAACTTAAAATTGAATGACGTTTGAGTATTTCACTGACAGAGTACATTTAAAACAATTTCTTACTGTATGGCATCATCATGTTGAATGGCATGGACGGCGGGAAGGACAGTTGTGGAGTTCCCATCAAACGCTCCATAGTCTGAGAGTGACTGTTCTGTGTGAACTGGTTCCTCATATCCTATAAGTAAATATATTGCATAAAGGTTAGAAATATATCTACACTCTATACTATCGAGGAAGAATTATGCCCCAAACAACTCTACCAAAGTACTAGTAACAAGAAATAAGAAACAAAAATTATAAGTTCTACGGTTTACCTGGTTGGATTTATTGCTTGTATTCCAGCCGGGCGGTGGTACGTGAGGATAGGGCATGTGTCCAGGGTTTTCTCCAGCTAAAACAGAATAATGTTTTTCATAGAAAAATCAATTTAAACAGACTGCACTTACTGACATTTTATTAAGTATAAACTCACCGTTTTGAGAAATTGGCGGCACCATATTGACATTCGACGATTCCGCTCTAGGTTCGTGACGTATATTCTGATTTGTATTGTTGGACTGAGTCAGCTGAAAATAATATTCATACATTAGGTACTTACTACTCCACTTTAAAGTCTGTACTGGTTATAAAGGAGGAAAGGAAAAGTAACTTACACTACTATCATCTGTCTGCCTCTCTAGGGGTTGTCGTCGGCGGACCCGGTTTCTCTGATTAGATTTATTCCTAGATGCACTGTGGAAAAGTTAAATACATATATCAGTACTAAAGCCTAGTGTTTTAGTTTACTTTACAAATAATAATTTGAATGTGTCGAGTTACCTATCTGTGTCGCTTCCGTAAGCACTGCCCATATGAGGAGGCAAAGCTGCGGCAGATCTGCCACCCATGGCGCTGTCACCACCGCCCTAGAAGGAAGATAATATTAATAATAATTATTATTTTATTATTTAAAAAACATTGCCCCAGACTAGGATTTTCTCCTGTGTCGTGGGTGCGTTAACAAACATACAATTTAACATGCATATGACACCCAGACCCGAAGCAACAATTTGTGGATCACACAAAGAGCTGTTCCTTGCGGGAATCGAACCCGCGACACGTTTCGCGGCAGCCGGTTGCCCAGCCACCGCACCAACCGTGCAGTAAAATCATGTATTATTATCATACTAATTTCTTACGTTCTCTACTACTTCCAAGAAATTATAATAAGAATCACATACCCTAAAGTTCTCTGTTTCTCTAGAGTCCTGCGAATCCAGCAGTATTTGCTCAGATCTTGATTCAGGCTCGCTGATTCGATCTTGTTCACTGAAAGATACATATTTGTTTTTTGGTAAGATGAACTAAAATCTAGTCTCGTATTTCGTGACAACACTATGATATTAGTTTGCTCAAGAATTGTCAATAGGAAAAACCATACCTGTTATATGATTGGTTGACAACAGACGCGCTGCGTGATTCTTGCTTTATATTTTGGGGCTCAGGAGCCGAACATAGTACTTTCTGAAATGAAAACAATAAAACATGAGTTAAACATATTTTAGAGGTAATTTTTATTTACTAATTTACCACTATGAATAAAGCACGAACTAACATTATAAATACTGAAGTAAGTTTGTTACCTTTTTAGACATAATCTATTCAACCAATTTTAGTGTAATTTTGCATACATGTTGGTACATGTAATTTTACATTCATTTTGTACAGTTGGTAGTATGGAGATGGACATGGGCGTAACTCACGCGGACAAAGCCGGGGGTAAAAGGTACTTCTTTATGTTTAATTTACTAACCTCTTTGTTGAGTAGAGCTTCCAGTTCGCGTTGCTTGTCAGCGAGTAATGCCCGTAGTTGCATCTGTCGTCGCTCGGCGGGCCCGGGCGCACTGCTTGGCACGCTCTGTCCACTCGGACCAGCGCGCACTTCTTCATTCACTTTCTTTTGCTTACGGCTCACTTCTGTAAAAAAAATTGGTTTTATTGGTTAGTCTATAGAATAACAATTAGTGGAAACGAAACGTCGTTTTATTCTCGCAACGGAACTACGGATTAGGCTATATTCTTTACCCCACCAACTGTATAGCAAATGTCTTGTCTGATGGTCCGACCAGCTATTTAGTCTCATGTAATAACGAACTAATTGCTACACACGAGGCACTTTTCTCATGGTCCGAAGCTTTCGACTACGTCAAAATGCCTAATCATGTCCTCAAGTATATGTGATTTTCGTAACAGTGATTTCAAGTGGAAACCTTTGTTCAACACCGAACATCTTCGCACTAACCTTAATGAAGATGATATTCACAAAACGTACCCTTATTAGATATCATGTCCTTGATGCGAGCGCGCTCACCCATAATCTTCTCCGTTTCCATACGAAGCTCTTGAGCTAACTCCTGCAACGTCGCTATGTTGTCTTCGTGACCTGATTTGACGCCAATACATACACGTTTTATAAATATCTTTCTTATTTTATAGTTATATGTTCATTTATCAGTTATTTTAATTTAAAGGAGAATAAACTGAGCAAATTAATAAGTATTTACATTTATATTCACAAATAATGCTTTTTGCAAAAGTTTTTACACATATTTTGTATAACGATAGTTAATAGTTTTATTACGTTGTATATTAAGTTAATGTATTGTAAATATACAGGCTGCAGGAAGAATAAAAAGAGTTAAAAGTTCTAATTAATATCGTAAAGACTTACTTTGTTGCGTGTGATGTTGTTGCGCGTGGTGTGGTTGCGCATGATGTTGTGGTTGCGCATGTTGTTGTTGCGCGTGCAACTGTTGCGAGTGTTGTTGCGAGTGTTGCTGCGAGTGTTGCTGCGAGTGTTGCTGCGAGTGTTGTTCGTTGGTGAACTTGTGTCGCTGCGGCAACGAGTTGCGCACGCGACACATGCTGCCTTCGTTAGACCAGCCGCCCATACTCCCTCCTCCTTCAGATTTACTAAAACATAGGTAATAAAAACCATTCAAATCTGTACAACAGTAATTGCTATTTGATACAAATGTTGACTTTGAATTTCAGGTAGTCTGAAAAATAACACTTTTGATAATAATATTTGTGCCTATCTATTTCTATATAAAGATAGATAGAACTTTAACATAAAATTCTTACTTGTCATGAATATTCGAGTGAGTCGATAATTCTCTGAAAGAATCATCGTGAGCCGTAGAAAGGTGTTCTGATTCATAATTTTCTACTGTTCTCATCAAATCTGTAAAAAAACAATTTTATTAATAGTGACTAAAGGATGGTACATACATGTTAAAATTAATCATTTGAATCATTTCAAATACCTTTTGTCTTTTGAAGAGCTGTCTTAATTGCTTTTATTTCCAATAATTTGAAAGGATCATCATTTTTATTGTTGGTTGTGGGTTTATTGCCTGAAAATATTGAAGAAAATTAAGGAATATTCAAGTAAACTACGACAATGGCACAGAAACGTAAGCCAGTGAATCAAATATTTACATTTTCGTGGTAATTCTTCATCACCACTGTCTTCGCCTGAGCTAGAGTAGTTGTTACGGCCGGATCCTAGATGAGTTGCCATTTGGAGTTTTTGGAATTCCTGCACCTACAAACAATACCGAAGAAAATAAGATTATAACTCTGCAATAGCAATCGAATTTAAACTAAACCAGTGTGTGTATTCATACCAAACTTTCCATATGTTGCTTCTTCATCTGTAATTCTCTAAGTTTGAGTTGTAAAATACGACTGCGTTCATTCAGAAGAACTTCGTCATCATCTGCCTCACTGTCACGCCCAACGCCTGCTGCCTCCTGGTAAAAATATATATCATAAATATGCCCGCGCCCGGTATTGGGCCCATTTATCTATATCGTGTCGTCCATCTACTATGTCGTGAGTCACATACAGGTCACATTCAGACCTGAGGGAGTATCAAACTCTTACTGATTAAACTACCCCATTTCAACTTCTGCTCCGAGGTCAGGTCGCGGTAAATTATTGCGCTTTACCAGTGGAACAACAATTTGTGGATCACACAAAACGCTTTTCTGTGTAGGAATCGAACCTGCAATACGTAGCGCAGTAGAACTAGAACAAGAAATAGCGTCTTTGTTAACTTTCTTATCTCTGCTTCACCTACCTCACTTCCAGTAACATTCGTATCCCGATGCGAGAACCTATCATCTTGGCTATGTGCAGAATGTACTGAGTGTCCATGGTCAGTGTCAACACTGGCAGCCATGTTTTGCTGTAAGTGCAGAGCTTCTGACGAATGCGGTAACGTGGTCGCAACACCTATCTGCTGGTTGGCAGCGTACATACGATTTGCGTGATGGTAATTACCACCTAGTGATTGGTTCTGGAAATAATATAAATAGATGTTAATAGGTACTTATGTTTCGGTAGGAAAGAGACGTAATGTAGAAACTTACTTGTGCTCCACCAAAGTTGTCATGTGAAGTAGAAGGTTGCACCTCCTGAGCTTGTCTTTCCCTTTCCCTATCCCTATTCATCTCTTCCAATTGATGCTTTGCTTCTTCCTATAATAGGAAAAATTTAGAATATTAGTTTTTTGATATTTAATCAATATGTTCCAGTGGAACGCCTTAACACCTTAACGCAAGGAGTGCCTTATTCCGAGAACATACCTGATATTTTAAGAGCCTCCGTTGTTGTTGTTTTAAAGCTGCCAAACGCATTTGCGACATTTCCATTTTATTTTTAATCTCATTTTGCCACAGCTCATTGTCACTGTACGTGGAGCCGTTGCTTTGGGCAGACACTGGTCGCGTTACAGCATCCTAACAAAATACATACAAATTAAAGTAACCATTAAAGTAAATAAGAGATACACTAAAATAATTCTATTGGTTTGAGGGTAACACAAAAACAAACAGATGTGTAGAGATTGTGTTAAAAATTTGAAATGCTAATAAACTAGACACATTAGTGATATCTTCATCTAGGCTAAATCTAGCTTTACAGCAGAAATAGCTCGTACGTAGTCATTTCTGCATGCGCAATCAGTGCGCGGATTTGTACGAATGTGATTTAAAGTCTATAAACGTGTTAATGTCTAGAGTAGGAACACCCGCACAAAATGAAGGTTACTGTTGTAGGTTATGAGTTTATTATTCAATATTAACTCCAATTGTAAGGAACGAACGATGGATTCTAGCATGCAAAAACCTGTACAAAAATTGTTATAATATTATGATTTATCCACATAAAACAGTTGTTTAACTATGAGTACAAAATCAAAGCTGGAAGTCTAAGTTAAAGCTAGAAGCAGCTTTGACACGACATAAAGTATCAAATGCCTTTCGGCAAGTATTGCAATAGTTATTAGAGACGGTTATTTTCTGCTTCAAGATATTGCATCCACTTCATGCTATGGATTGTTCGGCTCACAACATAGGGACACACTCCATAGTTCACAGTAACAAACATAAACCTGATCGCTGCGTGTATTCGAATCTTTCTTTTTGTTTTTCATCTCCTCTATCCGCGTTATTTTTTCCACACACGAAAGTATATTTTTCCGTAGCATATCTTTTAATTCTTGGTCGTCTTTCCTTATTTCGTCTTCGTCAACCACTTGAATTTTATTTTCTTTAACATCGGCAGTGTCAGGTGCTGATGATGAAGGTTCTGCGTTTTCGACAACAATAGTTACACCATCCGCAGCTCTCTTAATGTCTTCCTGAGCGTGACCGTCCTCTTCTTTCAAAATGCTATGCATGGATTTATTCAGCTGCTCATTTTCAATGTTAGTAACCTTTTTCAAGTTATTGTTTATTACATTACTATCAGGCGCATTTTTAACATTACATGTTTTGTCTACTTTCGAGTTTGTCTCTACTGGAGGTTCAGGTTTGCTCTCTGTGTGAGAATCAGTAACTGGTATCTCTACAATGACAACTCCATCTGTCTCCTCAGCGGGTACTTCAACATTCTCTGGTGCATCTAGCATTTTCACAAGTTTAGATTCACTTTCCTTCAATTTCATTACCATCTCTACTAGTTCATCATATTCTTCTTTAGTGTGTTCAATAAAAGCCTAAATTAGAAATAATATCAACCATTTTTCATATGATCTTATGACTAGAAATCAAATTAATGTGAAAACATACCTCTTCTTCAGAATTACGCATAGTATCGACGAGAGACGAAGTAACCCTGATGTATTCTCGTATTTGTCCAAGTCTGCGCTCAACAGCCGCTGCATCAGGACATGCTGCTGCTATTGCCTCTCCCAAAGCTCGGGCAGATTCCCGGTGCACCTGGGGGGTGGGGGGGACAAAATCTCTCAAATAATCTGTAATACATTCTCAATAATGCTAATGCTTATAATTAAAGGTAAGGTTTAGAATAAAGTAATAAATTCACTTACATGATTATTCTCATTAAGATTGTTGAAACCGCCTTGTCCCTGTTCATACATATTGTTGATTAAGTTGACAGTCTTTGTTCCAGTTCTAGAGTTGGATATTGGTGGTGTTGTGTTATTGTTGCTTGCGTGGCTCCCTTCGAAATTATTTCTAGAAGGATTCAAGTTCCTAGTTAAATTATTTCTGTTTTGATTCGGTGCCTGAAATAAACAATTTATAAATGTTTTTGTTTCTTAAAACAATAACATCTAAATGTTTTAATTTTTACGGGTACTTACATTAAATGGTTGTGAAACATTCCCAGTTACAGCATTTGGTGTAGTTGGATTAACTATCATTACAGCTGCTGATGCATGATTGGAGTGAGGAATTAGACCTAAAAGGTATTAATAACTCATAAGAAAATTTGATACAAAAACTATGTTGTACACCAATTGGATTTGTATTCTCACAAGAATACAATAATATCTAGTTTTGAAAGATAAATAGTTATACTGTCTATAAGTTGTTAAAGTATCAAATGTCAGAAATACACAGCAGTCTATGTATAAATAAATGGAAACAGACAAAGTTATTACCATTCTGCATCTGATGCACATAGGGATGCAAAGTGTGGCCAGACAAGGATGATCCAGCACCATCGTCATGTTGTTCAGTGGATATATTCTCGCGGTTCTGCACGTTCAGCGGTAACGCGCGCGGCTGAGGTCTAACTGGCACAAACCTTCCAAATCCACTCTCAAATGATACTGAATTGTCTAAAACAACACAAAATACAATATAGCAATGTTTCAAATCCCAATTTGGTTATATGAATATGATAATGTGAAATTGTGAACTTACCCAAATCAGTTAGTTCATGATCCGATGTATTATTTGTTGGTTTCCTCGACTGACTGTAGTTAGAACGACTGTTGTATTCTGAGACGGGCACCCAATCAAGAGATGTCTAAAAAATAATTGCTTACAAAAATCACATGTCCCACATATTCCTAAAATATGTTCCACAGAAAGAGTACAGCACACACCTTTGGTGCACTAAATTTAGAAAAACAACCTCCCATAAGAATGTTTTTACGAATGCAAAACACAATCACAGTAGCCAATATTTTACACAATAACTATAAAGTAATTCAATAGAATAGAATAAATTGATCAGAACTGTTTTCTGTTCAGTATTATCTGTGTCACAAACCATGGCAGCTTGGCACCAATTCAAATACATGAATCTTTCAGGTTTCCAAAAATAAACTCATACGAACTTCACATGTGTTCAAGCTTTGCTAAGAAACACACGAGTTGTTATTTTATTTTTGCTGCCCATTTTAAAATATTTTTATTCAGGTAGTGTAGTTTTTAACAAGGGAGTTGTAAAATTATTTTATTATGTTATTTGTGGTTTCCACATATTGTAAAATAATCTATCAACTAAGTGCTACTTTTTAAATTGTTTATTTTTAGAGAATGGAATGTTCATTTAATTTATTACTTTTATGAATTTTCTATTTATAGAATAGCTATCCAACTGATTAAAAAGGGTGCAAGTGTCAAAGTAACCTCTGTTTTACAATTACAGGATTACTTTTTTTAGAGTGAGTACACATTAAATTGTTTATTTTGTAAACAATGTATAATGTGGGTATATATTTCTTAACAAGTATAATGTGGGTTTTAACTCGGCGAGTACCGTATTTATAGACACAATTAAAGAACAATAGGTTGCGGTCACCAGTGACCGCTTGGTGTTTGACAGTTTAATATAGCTTTACAGTGTCAAGTTTTAATGTACCACAATATAGCTAAAGCTATATTAAACTGTCAAACACCAAGCGGTCACTGGTGACCGCAACCTATTGTTCTTTAATTGTGTCTATAAATACGGTACTCGACGAGTTAAAACTTAAATAAGATGAAACTTTGACTAAAATTACATAAGAAAAGAATTTTTGTACCTATTCATCAATAAGAAATAGTAGACCAGCCAAAGCAATGAGAGGTAATGTTGATGAATAGGTGAAACAGTTAGAGGCCAAGACACAGACCAAAACAAACTAGATATCTGCTAGTTAGGTAGTTTCTAATTAGTTTAGCAATTACTTTTACAACTTGTTGGTACATAGAAAATTATTAACATATTTGCACTCCAAGTGGCAATATTATTAGCAGACTTATAAGCAATATGTAATAAATGTTCAATGACTCCACAAGTAAAACAGCCACGCAATGAAAGGCCAAAATATGGCAAGGTGTAAGACATTTTGCAAAGTATGAATGCAGGTGGAAATGGCATTGGCATGTAATATCGAGTAAGGTAAGTGGTTCAGTTATGCAGTAATCCTTACCGTTACGAGATTGGTCGTCATGTCTCTCCTTGTTGGTGTTACAGCTTCTTGTGGAACATTACAATTATTTCGCACTTTTGTCTTGGGTATAGTTCCCGTATGACTTGGATGTCGCTCGTTGTTACCAGGAGCCATAACATTCAGTTTTTATTCACTGACATTTATAAGATTCAGAGCATTATAATAATGTTACAGTAATGAAATGTGGAGGAAAAAATAGCAAATAATAAAATTAACTTCAGACAAGATAATATTACGAACTTAAAACTGTTAAAAAGCTTTATCTTCTAAAAAACTTTTTAATCACTTAGGCCATATAATGAGTTACATGTTTTTGAGTTGAATTAATTTTTCCTAAATTACTGCAGCAAAATCTTTTACAAGTTTTTTCTATTTTTTTTTCTTTCGACAACGAGTCGAAAGTATTTTATTGGCTGGTCAACTAATACCGGGGGTTGCAACTATTTAAAATACATCAGCCTTATAATTTCTATAAAATACATTAATGTTATTTAGTTCAACGCTGATTTACTATTCGAATAAGATTTACAACACTTATAAAAGTAAATTAGCAGAACAGAAAGGAGTAATTCAATTTTCAAATTTTGATTTATGATGCTGCTTGTATTTCTGCGTGGTCTCCTCGGAACTTAGGTGAAAATTTGTAGCTAGTAACATTGGAATGCCATTTATTACTTTTTAATTTTACAATAATTTAAACTCGAGGCTTTCTGTCATTGTGGTGAGCCTCTGAGATATTAAAGATGAAGGACGTTGTCTTTTCATAGTCCCTATTTAATATTTAATAATTACTTTAATAATGAGAATCTGTGAATCTATACTGTATGATTAATTAATTACCTGACTACCTCTAAGTTTGTACGGCCAATGGCGTTACGCCATTATAAGGATTCGAGTGAAAATATAGACTACTTTTGGGTGTTAATTTTTCATTTCATAAATCTTGAAGTATTTTACTTATTATGACAAATGAAAAGCAGACCTATTAAGAAATCATAAAGTACATACGTTAGTATTGGTCTTTTCTTTTGATATAGTGTTCCTAGTTAGTTTCCCATAAAGGTAAGTATCTCCCGACAGCAGAGTGCCTACGAGATTTTGAATTAGTTCCTGTGCCGAATAAAGTAACTATTTTAAAACATTTTCGTAATAAAGAAAAGTATAAATATGATAATAATCTATTACCGTTATAGTACTATAGTAGGTACCTATCTATTCTTGTAAGAGATTCACATTTTGGTAAGAATGGGCCTGCTCTACTGGAGTGATACCACGGCCTCACAGAAACAGAACTTGAGTTGTATTTCGCCATGTTAATAATGCTTCTGGTATTGCGAATGCCCACTGATGGCACCTATTGCTAGGTATGCTATACCATGAGGTGATGTGATGATGTGATGTGTGTTTCCCTATCCCATTTAAAATCTAATTATCGTCATTAGATATTGAATTTTCTTAGATGTACCTAATTTCTATAGTACTTTACAGTTTACAGAGGTTACTAATACATTTTAGCCATTTGAAAACTAAATAGGTAGGTATTATGTACCTTGATGATGTTTATTTAGGCTAATGATTACTTAGATTCAATTCCCAGGTCGAGCAAATTATTAACGACGGCTATAGGTACCGCCAGTAATAGCACTGATACCAGATTCTAAAATGGTGTCCGGTATGTAGGTAAGTACTGGTTCACTCCCTGTTACTTGTATGGGAACTTAGGTACTGATTTTTACCTCTTTGGGGATAAGAAACCGATTGCTAATTATCTTGTTATTAAATTCATTATAGCCAATACCATTTACCTAAGTGGCTGAATGTTTGAATTTGATCTTTTTGTTCTGTATCTACAATCTAATCCTGTCTGTTGTCGCGGAGAACCTAACGGGTAACCGGGGCTCCGGCTCGACGTGCAGGAGAAGGAATGGGGTGGTTTTTAGTCAGTAAGAGTCTGACACTCCCTCCCACCTCACCCAGGCGGGAGCAGCCACTTCATGATTTTCACCCTTAAAAAAAATCCTGTCTGTTATTTAACTGACGGTAATGACAAGCCTATATGTTTTAATTTACTAAGACTGGTAAAAGGTGCCGTGGGAATTTGTTATGTAGGTACTTGGATAACGTTATTTATTTTAAAAATATATAAACAGCCGGAGAATTGCACGTACCGATGTAGGGCACCCAAGCGTGTCGCGTAGTGAAATGCTGCCACAGCACGTTGGCTCATATTGGCGGATGAATTTCGTCCATTGCCGTGTTCTTAACTGTCTTATTAATCAACTCCCATACTAGTGAAGCAATGAATGCTTGTGTTTTGTTATAACGTTGGTTACCATTGGCATTGGCCAACCAGATTGTAGAGGCGGCGTAGCATTATTTCCAATTTTCATTCGGCTCATATTGGATGGAGTTCGCTGTCGCTCGTAGTTTAGTGCGCGTTTGACCCGCCACCGACTGGCCGCGCTTCTTCTCTGTATGCGACCGAACGGTATGCGCGAACAATACTTTAGCGAAGTTAGGTATAACTGGATTCTCCTACACATTGGACGTTAAATTAGTGTGCTGAGTGTGTGATACGAATGTTGCGAATTTATAAATAAAAAGTGTAGTTCAGTGAATGAAAGTTTGGATTATTTAAAAACACTTACCTATCGTTCTTATTGTGAGGTAGGTAAATATATATTTTGTTTTCATGTAAGTAGTAGAGTATAAGTAGTTATACCTAACTATATTTATTCGGTATTAATTTAAAGTTTATTATATTACCTATTACCTAAGTATAAGTATGTAGAAGTTGTATAGTTTCACAGCTTGTTGATGTAAAAATTATTTAAAAGTTACAAGTTACAACTTAGGTATGTTTTAATGGGTAACAAACCGGTAGACATTTTAACACATGTCATGTTATTCAATGGTAGGATGTTATACTAAATCTCAGAGACTGTACCTAAGTGCTTAATTCGAACTGAAGTAAAGCATACATCAGCATGTATGCTTGCAACCTACCCAATTTATTCATACATGATGACTATTGATGACCCAGCAACTGATTGTCGAACTGAACAAATTGTCGCTCGCAGTTCCTCAATATTTTGTTTTCTAAACATTTTAACTAATCACTTATCATACACATATTTTTATATAAGTTGCTTTTTTATACTTTTTAAATTATACAGATTTTCCAAAGAAACAAAATTCTCTGTAAGTATTCCTCAAGATAAGTTCTTTCTTACAACAGGCAGAGTTGTAGGTACAGTAGAAACTTCCATGAAAGAAATATGTAGTTTGTGCAGGCCTAGGAATATTCAATGAAATAGATAGGTAGTGTATTTCTTCTAACTCATTCTGTAATTGCTGAGAACAGCCAGAAACAGGCAGACAGGCATTCTAAAGATAAACTTGTACCTATATTGTTTAGACGTTGAGTCTACACTTTTGCGCAACAAGCAAGCATGGAGGCTGAGCATTTGGTCTACCATTGTAGGTAGTATTTTTGCATCATTATTTTCATGTTTTCATGATTATTTTTATAATCGCACATACATACATAAGTAAATACAACCACGTTTTCTTATTCCCGAAGTCTCAGATAAGGAAACTACGGTCCTCTACAGCCTAAACTCGCACCGGTAATGATGGGGCTCAATGTCAACCTCTGCCTTGAAAATGAAACAGATAAATAACAAAGAGTCAAATAGTATTAAACTGAGTATAAATACGTATGTCACAACTCACAAGCCGCAGATGCCGATTATAATGCAGGCATCAGAAGGAAACTAAAAAACACATGTAGGATGTTTCAATGTCCTAAACCGCTTTAAAATCTAGACGGAGGAAACGAAGGATAATAAAACACAAACAGGTTTTGTAACATACTGTGATATATATCTATAGGTACAATTATACAGATACATATAAACCGTGCATGTAGTGTACATAGGTATCTATCTACTTAGTTACTTATTATTTTTAACAGCAAAATGTTCCAGTTGGCTGTTAGTCACTCGCTTTATGTGTGTCTACATAAATTAAATATTTTAGATGTTGTCTAAACCAGTAAACAGACAAGGCATTAACCTGATTATGTATAAATAAGATTTGTAACTTTTTTATCAACCGACCGACGCTGAGATTGGTAGAGCTTTGAGATCCCGTGTTGTGTGACCAGTTTTAAATATCAGATAGTCTTTTTTGTAACTATAACTATAGGACAGAACTAGATTCTCTTCCTTTTTCATTTCAAAGATGTTATCATTTGCAAGTTGTTCCATCTTATTGCCATATAATAAAGGCTTTTTCTTGTAGCAATATGTACGCCCGTCTGTTACGGAAGGGTTAATATGGTCTCATTTGCCTAAGTCGTAGACCCCTCCTCTTCTCTCGACATAACTACTTCGTAAAGGGACATCGCAGTCCCACAGCTCTACAGTATCTGTACCATCGATAATAACTTATGCTTCATACTTGTACTAACCATACAGATAAGAATTCAAATTACCCATATATTTTCTGTAAGTTAAAGTTAATACCTTTTCTTCATGTCCTGTATATTTATGACTGATTTTCTTCCCTCCAGCCACGCGCTCTAGTAACGTGTTAGAATCGATGGGATTATAATTTATATTCTTGATCCCATTTCATATGTTCTCATAATAATTAAATACGCATTATTCTGAAAATTATTACAAATTGTTTGAGTACATAACGTTTTTATTTTACATCTACGTTATTACGTTCGAGTTTAAGCAATGGATTAAGTTATTCCATGGCTGAATGGAATAACAAGTCCCAAACTCTCAACGGGTGAGGTGTATAGCAGGGAAGGACAATTATTACTATTAAATTAGGTCGTGTATAATTACTCCAATTTGCCTTTATAATAGGTAGATAAAAAAAAATCAAGCAGTTTGATACCTTATACTTATTAGTTGCTCGAGTACGTCTGTCACGAATCAGAAGAAAATCTATTGCGTAAAGTATCTTCTAAATACCTATGGAATTTTTAGTGCATGGTCATTTGAAATAGATTATCAACATACCTTACTATTAATAATATATGAGCTAAATGAACTTTTATACTTTACATAAGTATAGACGTAAACTTAATTTGAATT